TGGAGTCGGATGTGTGTGTGTGTGTGTGTGTGTGTGTGTGTGTGTAGGGGGTGGGTGGGAGTGGAGGGGGTGGGGGGGTTGTGGTGGTGGTGTGTGTGTCATGCCTTTAATCCCAGCATTTGGGAGGCAGAAAAAGGCCAATCTCTGTGAGTTTGAGGCCAGCCTGGTCTACACAGAGTCATGTCCAGGGCATGCTCCAAAGCTACAGAGAAACCCTGTCTCTTGAAACTAAAACAAACAAAAAAGTGACTTTTCTATATATCAGTAATAAACTTGTTGAGAAATGGGATGGGGTCCCATTCCCTAATGCTTAAAACAAACCTAGGAATATGTGGGTGCCCATAAAGGTGGCTGCACTCCATCTTGGCACAAGGACAGAGCGTTCAAAGCCGTCAGCAAGTCACAAGACCTAAAGGTCAAAGGTGTGGCTACAGAAGGATGTTTTGCCCATCTTAGTCTAAAAGACAACAGACCTGAATCTGAGGTGTGGCTACTCCTGACCTCAAGGTAGAGAACAAGAAGTTGGAGCTAAGGTGTGGTTACTGAACCCTTAGAATAAATGAGGAAGAAAAGTCTGTTTGTTCCATATACATGATACTGTGTTCCCCTTTTTGGTTAAGGAATATAAGAGTGATGAAAAATAAACTCGTGGCATTTCAGTAATGACTGATCTGCCCTCCTGACCTTTATTCTGTCTCTCTTTATTATCTATAGCCTTTCCCTCATCTACACTCAGGTACTGACTTGGGGCTGCTCGGCTGGCTCCGACTGCAGCCCCGCAAAGACTGCTCCTGAGAAGATCTCTCCAGTGAAAACTTTACAACACTAAGAAACCAGGTTACAACACTAAGAAACCAGGTTAAGGAAGTATCCCTCCATGGGGGATGTGTCCGCAAGGTCCTTTTACAAAATACTACCAGGAAAGAAAGAAAGAAAGAAAGAACGAAAGAACCCAAAACAGGCACTAAGCGGAAAGACCTGCTGTGCTCATGGCCAGACCAAATTAATATTGTGGAAATGGCTGTACTACTGAAAGCAATCAACAGGTTCAATGCCATCGCCATCAAAATGTGAGATTCTCCACAGAACTACAGAAAACAATCCTAAAATTTATGTAAAAGCACAAAAGTCCTCAAGTAAATGAAAGCAACCCTTAGCAGGAAGAACAATGCTGGCGGCACTACAATAGCTAATCTCATTATAGTCCAAAGGCACAATAGCACAAAGAGCATGGTGCTGGCATACACAGCACACACACAAATCCCCAAAACAACAAAAACCAGGCCTGTAGACCAATGGAGTCTCATAGAGGACTCAGAAATAAACTACACTGGTATAGCTGCCTAATTGTTGACTACACTGACAAAAACATACTCTGGAGAAAAGCCAATCTCTCATCAAAAGCTGGAAAGTATGGACTTTCACATGCAGAGTGAAACATGCTTCATATTTCTTTCCCTGAACAAGTCAGTTCAAAGTGGAGCAAAGTCCTCAATTTAAGACATGAAACTCTGAAGTGCTAAAAAGAAAACAAGGGGAAAATAACACAATGCAGAGGAAAGATTTTTCTGTACAGAAATTCAGTCTCACAGAAAAAATCAAAAACTGACAAGCGGGGTTATGAGAAATTAAGAGTTTCTGACAACAAAGGAAATACATACTAGTGTGGAGAGGCAGCCTACACAATGGGAAAAAAGATTTTACAAAAAAAGTATATACAAATAAGGGATTAATTTCCAAGATACATAATCACCCTTCCCCCCAAACCATCCAATCATGAACAAGGCAATGAACAGGAAACAAACAAACAAAACAAAACAAAAACAAACAACAACAGCAAAAAACCAGCATTGGCTAAAGATGCTTCCCATTAAACTTGTATTCCTGAGTTCAACCCCCAGGGCTCACATGGTAGAGAAAACAAACTCCTGGCTGTTATCCTCTGGCCTCAAACACACACAATAGATGAATTGGGGGAGGGTGTCACAAAAATACAAACGGCCAATAAAGCTTGAAAAAGTATTCAACAGCATCAGCTCTCAGGGAAACACAAAGAAACTGGTGCATTGACTGTGGAGGTTACTCAAAGGAAAGCAGAGCCATGGTTAGACCCAGCCACACTATCTGTGGTATCTACTAAAGTCAATGCCCAGAATACTTTCACGTCCACATTTGTAACTGAACTATTCACGATAGACAGGGAATGGAAGCAGCCTAGATATCATCAGCAGATATTTGTAAGGTTTTGTTTTGTTGGGGTTTTTTGCAATTTAATTACTTAAAATAGTTTCCTTTTTAACCACAAAGTCCACTACAGGGTATCTCTCCAATTCTAACTGTCACCATCCAGTTTCTCTTCTTGCAGACAACCAGTGCTGCCAGACCTGCTTGCAAGCTTCCAGAAACCTTTTATACATATGCAATTATTTTAATGTGTCATTCCGTCATTGTACATAACATTTTTATCCGTTTGCAGCTTTTTTTTTTTTTTTTTTTTAAAACTCTACCAGTTTTTTGGCAGGACCACTTCATAATGTTGTATAATGAGGTCCTTTTTGCTGTAATTAAGAACTAGACAGTAATCCATTGTATGGCTTCATTTTAATTTATTCAAGCAGCTCCTTATTAATGGGCACTTAGGTTATTTCTTTTTTCTAATACCAAACTATGGAATTGAATTAAATAGATAATTTTATGTTTCTTTAGGCAGAAAAAAAAAAAAAAAAAAGTTCAGCCACGAGATGGTAGTATACACCAACCACCTAGCACTTGGAAAGCAGAGGCAGGTGGATCTCTATAGTTCAAGGCCAGTCTGGTTTACAGAGTAAGTTCCAGAAAAGTCTCCAAAAGCTACACAGAGAAACCCTGTCTCGTAGAAACAAACAAACAAACAAAAATTAAAAGGACAAATGTGTGCACATTTTCAAGTTTACAATTGCCATTCATAGACATTGAATCAATTTATAACCCGACAGACAATGTATGTGAGTATCTTGTGCCTGGCGACTCACACTGACCACACACAATGTTAACAAAATGTTTTTATCCTTGATAATTCGTGAAAATGGTTTACTAATGTAGCTTTAATTCATCATGGGTGAGGTAAAGTATCTTAAATACTTTGATCCCTTACATACCACGTTTGTCTTTTTGTGGTCTACATACTTATCTTGAGCCCTTCACATTTTATTGTTGTTGCAATTTGTTTGTGCTGCTGTTGTCCTGAGATGGGGATCTCACGAAGTATCCCAGTCCTGGAACTTGCTGTGGGACCCAGGCTGACCTCTGACTGGTTAAGATTTGTTTTAATTTTATGTGTTTGCCTTCGTGTATATTGTGTACACCCCATGATTGCAGTGCCCATGGAGGTCAGAAGAGGGCATTGAATCTCCTGGGACTGGAGTTTCAGACAGATGTGAAAAACCATGTGGGTGCCAGAGTAGCTTCTAGTATCTATCTGTATTGGGGAGTTCACAACCACCTCTAACTCCTGTTCTGGAGACTCTGCTGCCCTCTTCTGGCCTTCACAGACACTTTCACACACAGGGCAAACACATTAAAAGCTGGGTGTGCACCTGGGAGGCAGAAGCAGGCAAGTCTCTTGAGTTCAAGGCCACCCTGATCTACATGGTGAGTTCCAACTGTTTAAAATAAACGAACATTTTGTCTCCTGTTATTCCTCTTGTCGTTTCTAGCTTTTAGGATAGCCACTTTCTGGCCGTACACATGGCTTTTCACAAGCTTATCATGTCCTAAAACATTTGTCCCATTTCTGTACTCCCTTCCAGCCCTCTAACCACACTTGTTCTCCACCTCATTCAAGACTTTCTCTGATCCCAAATATAGATTACGCTGTTGGTTTTTTGTTTGTTTTTAAATTTCTGATTATAGGCTGGGCAGGCAATCCCAGCACTTGGGAGGCAGAGGCAAGTAGATCTCAGCAAAATCAAGGTCAGCCTGATCTACAGAGAGAGTTCCAGGATCATCAGCACTATTATATTACACAGAGAAACCCTGTCTCGAAAAACAAAACAAAATTCTTAATTATAAAAGGCATACAGTAAAGTATATATGCATATACATGACTGGAGAGATGGATCCAAGTGTTTTTCTAGAGGACCTAGCTTCCTTTCCCATCATCGATAGGACAGCTCATAACCATCAGTAACAGCAGTCCCAGGGGATTCTACACCTTCTTCTGACATCTGAGAGCACGGAATACCCACATGGTACATAGATACACATTCAAGCACAAAACTCATAACATAAAAGAATCTTTAAAAAATAAGTTTAGAAAATAAAAGCATATGAAAGACGATAAAATGATACAAGATCACCTATCTCTAAAATCTGCTAAAGCTGGGATATGTACTCCCAGCTATATTTCCAAGTTTATTACTAATACTGACTTATAACTTAATCTCGTAAAACTATCCTAATAAATTTTTTCAGGTGAGTACAAGTAGGTTTAAGTAAGCTGTGTTGCCATTACTGTTATATTAAAATTACCATCCATAATACTCTATCATATAGTAGCCATTTTCATATAAAGGATGAATTTAATTTTCTGCTTACTACTTTGGAGTTCAAAATCTATAGCACCATATGCAACTAGTTACTTTTTAAAAATCTTATTTCCAACAGATGAATTGTTATTTATCCCGAGCATAAATGCGGCTGCGGGGCAGAGGTGGTGCACGCCTTTAATCCCAGCACTGGGGAGGTAGAGGCAGGCAGATCTCTGTGAGTTCAAGGCCAGCCTGGTCTACGGAAGGGGGGCTCCCGGCCCAGGAGCTCCAAGGTCGAAGGCTACAGGGCGGCAGCCCCCGGGAAACGCTCCCCGAGGCCCGGATCCCTAGTTTTTGCTTTGCCCCGGCTTCAGCGAACTGGAGGTTGAGGACAGTGGCGGAAACCGCACGGCGCCGGGGCTGCCCGCCGCGCCTGCGCAGAGGTGCCCGCCGCGATGATGGCTGCGCGGAAACCTCCACACCCACACTCACCCGACCAGGATGCTGCACCAGGCGGCTCCGCTACTGCCCGGGGACAGCCCAAACTAAGCGTCTCTAAGAGACGAACCCCACGAAAGCTCAGCCTTCCACCGCTCCACATCGCGACCAGAATCCCGCCCCTTTCCGGTCCCTCCTCACAACACATCCCCAGCACAAGGGTTCCGGCGCCACACTCGCCAGGCACTGCAGGCTGTAGCATTTACAATACAGTGCGAATTTTGTGACCACTGGTAATCAGAGCTCATCTGCCAAATTACGTCTTCGATGAGACAATAGACTCTCCGTTTCGTATACAAAGGCCATAAAGATCTTCTTTTTTTACTTATCTCACTTACGTATCACTGTGTGCGGATTTTTTTTACCAGGTATCTCCCCAGAGACATGCGTATTCTTGGAAGACCCTGAGTCTAATACTTAAAATCACAAGTATGGACGCACTTCTTCCAAGAACGTAACTCTTTCTCTTTTAAGGCACTCAGGTATCACAGAAAACAGAAGTCCAAACTTAATGTACATCTTCTGAAACTTAAGTAATATTCTGTACAGGATACCTACCACTCCATGTGGCAGAAAACACCGTTTAGACACAGATCAGTATATAAGTGTCCAGTATATAACTGGACACGCTAGTTATTTTTGTCAACTTGACACTTTAGAGTTACCAGGGAATGAATCGCCTTCATTAGAGTAGACTGTGGGCATGTGAGCAGGGCATTTTCTTGACTAATGTGGGAGGAGGATCCAGCCCTCCGGCAAGGGTCTTGGGTTTTGTCAGATAGCCCAATAAGCAAGACAGTAAGCAAGCCGCTTTCATTTATAGATCCTGCCCTAACTTTCCTCGATGAGATCCTCTTCTCAAATCGCTTTTGGTCAGTGTTTTATCACAGCAGTTTTTAAACCAGGCAGTCGGGGGGGGGGGGGCTTTCCCCATAAAGTAGTCAATTTCTAACATTTAGGGCATTTCTACATGTTCATCAGTGCGATTAACTAAGCTCTCATTTACAACTCCTGAGCTAAAATATTAGCCTAAGAAGAGCTGCAGACTTTTCAGCTGCTGTAACATATTCAGAGTTCCTGTGTTTGGAAATACATGGACATTTTTCCAAATGAAGGTGGAAAAGTTCTACATTAAAAATAAGTCTTACGCTTTTGTTGGACTGACAGATCCAGTACTGTAAATGTATTGTACTTACATTAAATGTATACCAGTTTCAGTCTTCCCAGTTTCACTTCAAAGGCAATCAGTGATACGCCTTAAATACTAGTAAGAGGCAAGGAGCTTCCTGACTCCAGCACATTAACAAAAAACTTTTGTGCTTCATCAGAAATAAAATCATGTTGAGTATAATGCAACATGTAGTTGCAAAAATTTCCCAGAGTAACTCTGGTCTAACTTATGAACAAGCTGTAAACTAGCTTATACATATTCTAGACAACTCAACACCTATTTCACATTCATGTTTTCTATAGTTTTTCTATCAAAAATGAAAGATGCCCATCAATGTCTATACAAGTTTGAATTATCTTCTACGACATCCACTCAGCTGAATGGGTTTTTGTTTTTATTCAAAAAGTATCACTTGGTAACTCTGAGAAACTCTATCCGGCCAAATTTTATTTAAAACTGAACTTACATGGAAGCTGGAGGGATGGCTGAGGAGGGGCTAAGTTCAGTTTTCAGCAACTACATTGTGACTCACACCCACCTGTAACTGCATACCTAGGGCTTCTTACACCATCTTCAGGCCTCTCTGGGCACCCTAACATGGAGAGTACATATTCATTATACTTAGTTCAGTTTAGAAATTTCAGCACATTAAAAATATTTTAGCTGGGCAGTTAGTAATGCACACTTTTAATCCCAGTGCTCTGGAGGCAGAGACAAGTGGATCTCTTGAGTTTGAGGACAGCTTGAACTACAAAGCGAATTCCAGGACAGCCTGAGAAACTGAGAAAGACTGTCTTGAAAAAGCAAAAGCAGTCAACAAGACAGTCAACAAAAGCGAGACAAATTAATGAAAAAATGCACAATACTCACATGTGACTGGAAACAAATCTAGTTTTCCAAATTACGTTACCTTAATGGTACCCTACCCATATTACACAAAACACTGTGATTCCTACACTAGAGAATGTTGAATCTTTTAGAACTCCCCCCCCCCATTTATTGTGTATGTGCAGGCATGCACAAAGCAAGTGTGGGATGGTGACTGAACATTATTTTAGTTTAACAATTGCTACAAGCCACAAGATCACAGATTAGTTACACAGTCATCTTATCATGAGGTAACTCAAGAATTAAGGATTCTCCTGATGGATGAAACCAATACAAAAGTTGTATTAGTCATAGTCTTGTGAATGGATTTTTTTTTCTCCCTTTTGCTGTAGATCCTTCCTGTAGCTTATTCCTTTCTGCAACAAGGGGGATTTTCTCCCCAAAGTTTAACACTATCTTATCATTTACTGGGAACAAATTCTCCCATGCATTTGGAGTTTACTGGTTACACTCCCTTAGCTTTGTGTAAAACCTGTTCTCCATTAACAGGTCCTAATAACTGATTACATTCCTTAGCTACATGTGAGACCTGTCTTCACCTGACTTCCTTGTTCCCCTCTCCACTGTCAGTGCAGAGATGCGCCTTCCTGCAATTATCCTTACTGACAGACATTTGGTCAGTGTTTAGAGACCCAGGCGAGTGAATTCCATCTAAGCCATCCCCAGATACCCAAGGACATAGAATTACTACATCCCCAAAGTTGTTGATTCACAGCTGCCTAGATGAATAGGAAAAATAAGCATGTCCTGGTTTTACCTGACTGGCAAATAGAAAAGTGATAACCTAAACTAACCCTGCAATAAAAGAGTCTCAAACTTGTTTTATTAACTCAAGATTTTAGCTCAGAGATTTACTGCTCCCTGTTGTTCTTTACAGTTATCACCTATGAAACACAAACAGGAGACTCAGCGGGCCCATGTGGAGTTTATTGGTGGAGAGGAGAGAAAGGGAGGAGGGGTAGCTGGTGGCCAGCTGAAAGCAGGAGAGAGCAAAAGAGAGGGAGGGGGTGTGCTTGCTTTAAAAGGGAAACTGAGTCCCTACGCAGTTTCCCTACATAGGATGGGTGTCCCACGCACCGTAGGGGACAGGGTCAGCAGCCACTGAGGCCAGAACACTGGAAGGTACCAGGGTTTTGTTTCTTGTGCAGGTTAAACTTAGACCCTTTGCTTGACCCACAGCCCTAAGCAACTGATGCTAAAAGCTTCTCAAAGTTTTAGTTTATTGCTGTGTAAATCTTACCTTACTGACCCTGAGAAACTCAAAGGTCAAATTGTATTGCAAAAAGAATTATTGTTGCAAACATACATATACACCTGTACCCCCAAGAACTGGGGAGAAACAGAGAGAGAGAAAAGGAAGGAGAACAAAAAAGAGCAGAAGAAGTTGCAGAGGAGCAATTGTTGTGTGAGTCAATGCATTTCCCCCTCAGATTTTAGTTCCTTCGCTTATTTGTAGTCACCTTTTCTGAACTCTGAGAGAAAATTTTATAAGCAGGCTTTTTAAGGTTCTCAATAAACAGATATTATTACTAAAGTAAAATCAACATTTCACTTGCAGATTATCTGAAGCAGGTTTGAAAAGAGAAAAGAACAGCTTTCAGAATTGGTCCTCTCCTTCCACCATTGGGGTCTGAGGATTAAACTCAGGTCACCAGGATTTGTGGCAAGAACCTTTACCTGCCAAGGCAACTTAACAACAGCAATGAAGAGAATCAATTACCTCTCTCTCTAATCAGGGTGGGTGGGTGGGTGGGTGGGTGTGTGTGTGGGTGTGTGTGTGTGTGTGTGTGTGTGTGTGTGTGTTGTGGGATACAGAAGAAGTCTTACCCACTCTAGCCTGGGGTTACAGCAGATTTTACTGCCTAGGATGGGTGCTGGGAAGCAAACTTGGGTCCTCTGTAAGGGCTGTAGCAAGTGTTCTTAACCTGTGTGCTCTCTCTCCAAACTTTCAAAAGAAAATCTCTTAAAAACAGCTCTTATTAACCAATTCAGACTGAATGTCTCAAAAACTGAAGGTATTCATTTTTTAGAGTCATTTTTTAAAAAAGGATTTCATAACCAAAGCTTACATCTAATTAGCTTTGTGTATGATTTAGTATTGGCATCCTAAATTACACAAGCATTATTCTAAATTCCTTTTTACATGTAGAAGAAATAATAAGCTTTCCACAAAAATCTAACAGATAGAAATACAATCATAACAAAAGTATAACCCCGTATAGTCATGACAGTCATGGTTTTTCAAGACAGGGTTTCTCTGTAGCTCTGGAACCTGTCCTAGAACTAGCTGTGTAGACCAGGCTGGCTTTGAACCCAGAGATCCACATGCCTTTGCCTCCCAGATTAAAGGTATGCACCACCATTGCTGGGACTTTGTTGGTTTTAAAAATGACAGATTTAATGATAAAAAGCATGCAAATCATTAAATAAAACTGGCAAAATCCTTTTGGCTCTCATTTATATGTCTAAAAATGTATGTATCATAGCCAGCATAATTTTTCAGTAAAATTTTATTTTTAAAATAATATTTCACTTGAAGTTTGATCTAAAACACTTTAAAGTATGAAAATTTTATACAACTTATCTATTACAAATTAATCAGAAGTCTTCAATTAAGTACATTGTGTTAGGCCACCTACATAAAAAATATTGCACATTTTGTCTCCGGTGTTACTGATGAGTAAACTATATAGAACTCCAAACTATTTATTCTGTGAAATGGCAACTTTATAAATATTGGAACTAAATGCACTGTAAACAGCCATTTTGGTAAACATGCATTTATTCACAGATTTATTTCCTTTAGATAAATGCATAACTGCTCAAAATTAAGATGCTATGTGGAGGTACAAGCGCGCACAGACAAATCTTTGTCTCTGCCTTCATTTGGAGGGAACACTGACCGTGGCAGAATTATTTTTAAAATGCACTATTGCTGGTAAGAAAGCTAATACTTTAACACCTTCTCTGTGTTCTGCACTTGCATGTCTCTTTCAGTTAGAATTTAAAAGCAAGGTTTGCAGAGATTCAGCTCTCACTGCGTAAGTGTATCATCTTAAGAACTCAGACCCCTGAGGCAACTGAGCCCTTGTCAAAAGCCAACTACTCAGGGAGTGACTCACGGGACCACTCACTGGTCACAGATTTTGGAGACTGTCAAAAATCAGACTGACCACCTTAATGTTATGTAACCGACACCATCCTGCATAACACAGTTATTCCTCCATTAAGCTGAGGCCGTATTATAGTTTAAAAATATAAATATATTGATTCCTAAGTCCTATTTCTATGTTAATCCCAAGGTGTTATGCATGTAAAACAGGAGTGACTATATAGTTCCAGACTTGAATATTAGTGTTGAATATTCATTACAAATAACTCTACTGGTGCAATGGCCTGATTATTTCCAGCAATTTCATTTTACAGGAGTGAATCACATTTTATACACACAGAGACTATATTACTTGAACAACCCCCTCCCCCCAAGAAAAAAGTTTAGGAAGATGCCTTCAAATGGAAAGTAAGGGCATTTTTTTGTTCCTTTCCCACACCCTTAAAAGTTGAATTTGACAAAAGTCCATGGGCATAACTTACAAACTTTGACAAACTATTAGGTTAAAACCATTTTCTTTGGGGGAAGATGTGAGGAACTTTTAAAACCTGTTATACAAAACTACAGCTGCCTTTTTATTAAAGTACGTTCCTTAGGTTAAAACCATAAAATTAAGGTGCAAGAATTTAACAAAAATTAACTGAAGAGCTTTATTGACATCACAGTACATTCAAGAATAATTGTAAGAACATTACAGCTGAAAGAGAATGGCATATTTAGAGTCTTATTATGTACTATTTCTTGAAAAAATGTAATACAAAGAAATCCTATTAACTTGGAGCAGCATTTGGAAAAAAGACACCTATTTACACAATTAAAAAAAAAAAATCTGGTTTCACCTACACAGCCACAATGTGCCTCTATAATGAGACAAGCCCTTAAAACTCATGGAATTTTTAAAAACAGCATCATGGCATTCTTGCCACATCATTCCTCAGCGCTTACGACGGGGAGGGGTTGTTGATCTGAAAAAAAAGAAAGCGGGAAAAGACAAAATTTAAAAATAAAAATGTATTTATACTTAAAATCTGCAATATAAATAAATACTGTTATACAGGACTTCTAACATTATTTAAAAATATTTAACAAATACCAAACTGAGTTTATACAAGAGAGAGAGAGAGAGAAAGGACACTTTCAATTTTGAATCAATTCAAAAAACTTTAAAAAAAAAATCAGACAAAATACTTTAAAAAGTATACTACCTTGATCGGGACTTAGACTTGTGTTTGCGGCTTGCCTTCTTACCAGACCTTTGAGATTTCTCCATGGAGCGCGACCGACTATGTTTAGGCTTCTTAGCCTTCTTTTCTTTGCTACTTCCAGGGGATTCAGAACTGCTCCTTCCACTAGAATCAGAACCTGAATGCTTTTTACTGTCTTTGGTAGCATTTTTCTTACTATCCTGTCTAGAGTCGTGTCTTATTACTTTCACAGATATAGAACCACTCCTACAGAACACCCTCTCACTTTCTCGCTTCCTTTTTAACCGATCATCCTGACTACTGAATTTACAATCTTTGTCTTCCCTTTTCTGTTTCTCTTTTCTTTTGTCCTGCTCGCGGTCCCTTTCTTTGTCTTTCTTTCTCCTGTCTTTATCTACGCTTCGACTCCTCTCCTTTTTCCTGTCTTGTTCTTTAACCTCACCTTTATGCTTATGACTGCTCCCACTAAGATTTCCACGTGGATCCTCAATTTTACGCCTATCTCGACTCCTACTGCGACTGGAACGATTGGCTCGTCTATCCCTTGAGCGACTTCTGCTTCTACGTCTGTCTCGGGAGGGACTTCGGTTTCTTCGTCTTTCTCTTTCAATGCTACTTCTATTAGATCTCCTCCTGTCTCTCAGCTTCACCCTAGCTCTACTGCTGTCTACCTTCACTCTGCGAGAGTAGCTCCTGCTCCTGCTCCTGCTGCGTCTAGCTTTCACTGTGGGAGACCTGCTCCTACTGTGTCTCTTTTTCCTTTTAGGAGAAGAGGACCGGGAGGATGTGCAGCTGCTGCCTGAGCTGGAGCTGTATGAAGAGCTGGAGACGGAGCTGCTACTGCTGCTAGTCCTGCTATTGCTGCTGGAGCTGCCGCTGCTACTGCTCCCTGACCTACTCCTTCGCTCCTTCTCTTTCCCTTTATGCTCTCTTTTGGGCTCTAAAACTGATGGAGCTTCATTTGGAGTTCTTTTCTTTTCGTTAACCACATCACCGTCTGCTTCACTTGCTTCTAGCAGTGATAAACTATTTTGCTCTCTGTGAATAAATTCATTCATCTCTTTTGTAACCCTTTCTGTTTGTTGCTTTTCTTCTGAAACAGAAAAAGACACAGAAAAGCTAAATAAGACATGAAAAAACTACCATACTATCAAATTATAACAATAGTTTTATCTTTAATAGAATTAGGGTACAAATCATCTAAGTAATTAAAAACTTTCTAACAGCTACATTAAAACAGTAAAAAATAAAGTACAATTAACTTCCCCATTTCACTGACCTAATATATCAAAAGCACTAATATTTCAAACAGTGATTGAAAAACAACTGAAACTTTTTTTTTCCAGAGAAAATCTTCAAAGTCTGACACTGTCTACCTATGTCAACAATTCAGTTGAGGGCTAGCCACATGTCTAATACTCAGCATGTACTTAGCTATCTACTATTCTAGACATACAGTGAGAGTATCAAAATGCAGGCATACATATGACACAGTACTAGTAAACAGAAGATGAGCAGTAGGGCATGGTGCCGCCCACCTTTAACTCCAGTACCTGGGAGGCAGAGGCAGGAGGATCTCCATGAGAGGTCAGCCTGGTCTACAGTGAGCTTCAGGATATAAAGGACTACACAGAGAGCCCATGTCTCAAAAGGCCAAAAAAAAAAAAAAAAAAAAAAAAGGGGGGGGGGAGGGCACCAAAAAAAACAAAAAACAAAAATCAACCCCAACATCAAAAAAAGACAGAGACAACAAGTGATTCCTAGAAAACTGTTAACAAAGCTTAGTTGTTTCCTAAGAGCTGACCAAATAATATTTTTCAAAAATTAAATCCTAATAATTCTTTCATTATTCCAAGTACTATCACACACTTAAAAACTGTACTTGCCTAAGGAATTTTTAAATATAGTGTTTTTAATCTTCTAGTTTCCTTAAATAGCTACTTTCTCAGGAGTATTATAAATATAATACTTACAAAAGTCTATTTTCATTGCAATAATTTTAACATGAAATAAAGCTCTAAATAGCCTGGTTTATGACCATGGGAATGAATGGGTCCTACAACAAACTAAAACAAAATAAAAAATACAGTGTGTTCTTAATCTCAGCTGTAATCACATATTACTTAAAATCAAACCTCCAGTTCTATCCTATAATATTTCTACTTTGGCTTAAAACTGAAACTGATAATACACAGTTATTATTAAACTATTTTTTACATTCTAAGAGACTGGCACTTATGCTGGACCTCAGTCAAAGTTACTAACATACCTTGAGGTCACTAAGAGGTAAGACTGCTATCCTACTGTGTTCTCAGACTGTTTATTTAACCTGCTTTTAAAGGGAAAACATAACAACCAACTCTACTTGCCTTGGATTTAACAAGCAATCAACTTTTACAACCTAAGCTAATGCAAAGCTGTAATTTTAAAGGACTACTTTTCTACCCCTGTGACCCAAACTATGTACACATATCACTTGCAGCAAATACACGGTTGAAGGGAACTTCCTAAAATTGACCATAATAGCTGCAAGCAACTATTTATGGCTATTAATTACTTGGTAAAGGGTGATGCTTGTGGGGCTGGGAGTTTAGCTCAGGGGTACAGCACTTGCCTAGCAAGTGCAGGTTCCTAGGTTTGGTCCTGAGCTCCGAGGGGAAAAAAAAAAAAAAAAAAAGAATGATGTTTGCTATCTGGGTCTGCTGGGATCGGTTGCAATCAGTGATTTAGTCCCTTGTAAAACTGTTAGAGATTTCTGTAAAGTATCCCATTCTTTTTCCCAGCGGGTATTTTCTGTGCTGTTCAATAAATAGAAAGCAAAGCTCTTTTTGCTAGGTATTAAAAGAACTTGCTCTTTTTTAAAGGACTCCTTTAAAGGACTTCCTTCCTTAACGAGACACTCCTGTACTACTGGTGGCTCAAATACATCACTAATGTGCATAATCCATGCATAAAGGCACATATGGAACTATAGAAAAGCTACACAATCCTAAGATTACCTTCCATCTGTTTATCTTGTAATAGCTGCTGTTCTTTTTCTTTTCTCCAAAAAGCTTCCTGTTTTTGCCGGATTCGGTGCCGTAATTCTTCATCATCAGTGTCAGATGACTCAGAGCCTCTGTCACTCCTCTCATCGTCACTGTCTCCTGATCCATAACCACCCAGTCCACCTGTGTGCATAGAACTCAATCTATCATATGAAAACGTTACACCGTCCACTACACACTTTTAAAGGTCCGAGAAGAAATTTCATTTTTTACATTGCCTTTTCCTGGAAGAATATGCTTATTCCAAGTAGGGAAGAGGCATAAATTCAAATTTTAAGTTCTTAGAATCCTCAGACAATGGTGATATTAATATTATTTGGACTATTTCACATATTCCTCACCACCAAGGAGTCATAATAATAGCTTTCTTTTATTGTTCACAGAAACCAACAAAAGCATTCAAAATGGCAACAATGAAGTCTTACTAAAGTTTAGCCAATCCAACTACTGTAATATAGTTGAGGGTGACTCTGAAAATATAGCTAAAGTTAATTATTTTATTGTTCAAAGTTTCCTGGATTCAGGTAGGATGCTAAGCAAATTTTCTCTAATAAATTAGAATACTGTAATTCTCACTGGTATAGAAAAGATGTGACTATTCCCCACCCAGAAGTAGCATCAAATGGGCATTTCATTCTACCTATTTCTCTCATTCCTTACATAAACTGCCATGAAATGAAGATGTGGAAAAGGCAAATTCAAGCTTGTGAGTCTTAATATCATGCAAATACCAAATTATGAACACATTACTACTGCTGTTAAGATAGACCCATTTCCTCTAAGTTGAAAATTGATTTGCTCCAAAATAATTCAGGTAAGTCATTAATTTCTATTTCTCTCTAGGTAAATTCCTAAGTACATATGCTATAATTTTTAAAAGGGAGTTTAGAAACTGCCATGGTCAAACCACTACCTATTAATTAAAACTATGTGTATGTAATATAGAACACATATAATTACACATAGTATATTACATACACACTGGAGCAATTAATGAGGAAATCCTCCATTCAACTCACCCAAATGAACTACATTAACTATTGCATTTATAATCATTCTTCTACAAATGCTTTAGTCAAATAAAGTAGATAAAAGCTTTCCCAACAGAACAAGCAGAAAGACAAGGTCAGTGAGCCTCCCTTTAGCCCTCTCACACACACACACAGAGACACTTACCGAGGCCAGTGAGGGAGGCCAGTGCACTGGACTGTGCCAGCTGTTTTGCAGGAGCTTTGTATCACATCAACAACAGGAACAACATGTTAACACAAATAGCCACGATTTCATAGTCATGAGAGTCTACGGTATTGTTAAATCTACTACTATCGCTGCTTTTTGGGGAGAGAAGAAACATTAAAAACATAACATTCATTTTAAACCAGTAGCATGTCTGGCTTTGAAATTACAATTCTGATGTGAGCTGAAACTGGTTTACGATGAGGAAAAAGGTTGGTAAGTACATCTGTATTTCTTTCTATGATGTATGGTACATAATTTATTTTCTGTATGCATTTCAGTGTAACTAAAATGATATGGGAAGGTGGTTGCTACCTGTGTCATAAGAATTATAACTGATAAAACTAAAAATTATGAAGGTTTAATGTAATTCAAAATTAATTTAAAAAGTATAAAGTCAGATTATCAGTACCATGGTAAAAAAACAGCCTAAGGTGAAATATATTGAACATGAGGAATTTTCCATACTGTATTTTAGAGAAGTACAGGATGAATGCTATCTGTGCTTAGGTAGGTCAGATAAAACAAAGTACTTCTATAGTTCCATGTTATCTACAAACCGAATCTTTCCCAAGAGTTAACACATGCAAAGAGAGAATATTTTAAGTATTTGGTAGAAATCCAGAGGACAACAAAAAAAAGTCCAAAATAACCAATGAAATCAAAATTCCCCTACAAAACCAAAACCAAGAACACCCACAATGTACCTTTCGTTGCTTTCCGGTGTGCATCTTTGGCTACATAATAAATTTCTTCATCTGTGACGTCCAGAAGAATTTCCGTTAGAAGCATTTTTGTCAGCAACATCTAAAGTTTCCAATTTAATTTTAATACACACGATTATTTTCAAAATAATTAAAATGAAAAGCCTCTTCAATTGAGATATTTTAAGATCAGATCTATCATTACTATGAACAATGAAAAACATTAAAACTTGAAAGTAGAACTTCCAATCCATAGGCATCAAAGAATGACTATCCACTTGTGACTGGTGTACTGGTGCACACCTGTGTTATCTGCAGTAGAGACAAAAGCTAAGGCAGGATTGTGAGCTATGTACAGGATAGGCTACAAGGCAAGACCTTATTAATAATAATAATAAATAACAAATAAAAGCTATAAACTTATCTGCAGGGACCTTGAACTCTTTTGCTAGAGACAAAAAGTCAAAGCTTGTACTAAGGGAATTTCTGTGGCTGGGAAGATGGCTCAGCAGGTAGAGAGAGTACTTGAGTGTGGACCCTCAGCATCCACATAAAAAGCCAGGCACGGTGGCATGCACCTATAATACTGGCTCCAAGAAGGAGAGAAAGAGGAGTCCTGGGGACTTGTTGGCCAAGGAGTCAAACCAACTGGTGCCAGGTTCAGTGAGAAATCTTGTCTCAAAAATAATCAACTAAATAATAAGACAGAGAGCATTAGGGACACCTAACATAAACCTCTGGCTTTCACATAATCATGCACAGGCACCTGCAGACACTGACACAAATGTTCATAGGAGTTTTAAGTAGAAATGAGTAGCCTTTCATTTAACAACATTGGTAAGAATTACAATACTGGTTTCTTAAATCACATTTCAAGGTTAAACTAAAATTCTGTGGGGCAAAATAAGAAAAAGACAAAAACAAAGAACAATGGTACTCTATTTGGCCAGATGGAGTCCTTTCATTCTGGACTAATATACTGTAACAATATACTGTAACAATATCCAAAGACATTATAAAACAGAAAGTACAGTACATTTGATTAAGAGATAGATTGTAGCTATGGTTTGACTATCAACAACTATTTCAAATGCAGGCTCTCAATTCCTCAGACTTCCTGTGCCCATGATCACTATTTATAGAAATGAAAGTTGACTGACTGAATTACCATATTCCAGAGATTATGGGAAAAAAATCCCAATCTTACCAAGTGATAATGAACTTCATAGACAAGAGAGGCTTCAAGAATTCTCACACACTAAAAAAAGTTGAACTCTGCTCAGTCCCTGTGGTGATTTGAATGAAAATGGCCCCCAATGGCTCATGTATTTGAATGTCTGGTGTCCAGGAATTGGGACTATTTGGGAAGGACTAGGAAGTGTGGCCTTGCTAGAAGAGGTGTGTCATGGGAAGGATGCATCTTAAAGGTCTCAAAAGCCCCAGCTATTCCAGTTTTCTCTCTCTGCCTTGTGCTCATTGATCAAGATGTAAGTGTTCAGCCATCGCTCCCGCACCATGCCTGCCTGCCACCGTGCTCCCCACCATGATGGGCTCTGAATCCATTGAAGCTGTTAGGTGGCTGAAGCTGTAAACTCGTTCTTTTTTGTTGCCTTGGTCATGGTGTCCTATCACAGCAACAGAAAAGAAACTGAGACAATTCCCTACTACTTCCTAGACCATGTAATTGTTTAAGTAGGGGAGAGTGCAAACACAGTAGTCTTTTAATCATTCTCAACATTTTCTGCAGAAAAAATAAATCAATAAATGTCAAGTCTCATATATACTAAACTGTTTTTAAATTTTAAATTATTTTATTTGATTTATGTATATGTGTTAGGCTCATGCACAGAGGTCAGAAGACAATTTTTGGAATCAGTTCAGTTCTCTCCTTCCATCATGACTTCTAAGGACTTACAAGACTGGGTTTGTTTTTTTTTTTTTTTTTCCCTGGCTTTGGAGGCTTCCCTGGAACTAGCTCTTATAGACCAGGCTAGCCTCAAACTCACAGAGATCCTCCTGCCTCTCTGCCTCCGAGTGCTGGGATTAAAGGCGTGTACCGCCACTGCCTGGCTACAAGACTGTTTTTATCCACTGAGCTAACCTGCTGGCCCAGTTAAGTGTTATTTAATTATATTGGTGTTATTAATACAGACTAGATATTGGATAACCAATTAGGGGCTCTTCTCTGAGGAAGAACATTGCTCCTGTACTCAGCATTTCTTAGTTGCATGTAGTTTTTGTCTAAGGTTGAGGCCCTTTGAGCTTTCCCATGTGAATGTTACCAAGTCTATTGGTGTTATGCTTATTCAGGTCTTGCTTAAGGTAGCAATGCCCTAGGATATACAGTCTCACAGCAAACTTCCTGTTCCCCTCACCCTTACATTCTGTCCTTCCCTCCACAATGATTCCTGAACCATAGTTTGTGATTAAGCATTACACAATCTCTTGTCTTCTGTATTTTGTTATGTTTTGGTGTCTATCTGTTTGTAACTTCTGTTTATACCTGGGGGGTATAAGGATGTGTTAGGTGTTTTGTTGAATGTGTTAAGTGTTTTGTTGGTTTAGTAAAGTGGCAGTTGTAGGGTCTCCTCCAAGACCCACGACTTCATTAGCCCCAGGTAGCTGCCTACGTTTCCAGTCTGAGGCATGCTTCAATCTTGCTGAGTGGTCCTAAGTCCAATAAGAGAGTTGGCTACCACCAAGTTAAACATGCCACCACTACACCATAGGATTTTTGTGTCATGTCACTGTTGTCCTGCACTGGGTAGAACATGGGTTGCTTCCCTAACCTTTTGGTACCATGAAAGCTGTCCTGTGAAAGGAAGCTTTCAGGTCAGATCAACACAGGCCCTGAGTCTTCTTCAGACTGGTTATCCAATACAAGTGGTTAGCCTGAGATCACATACATACAGGCTTACTAAGACTAAGCCATCATAGTGTGTGTGTGTGTGTGTGTGTGTGTGTGTGTGTGTGAGAGAGAGAGAGAGAGAGAGAGAGAGAGAGAGAGAGAGAGAGAGAGAACTAAGGAAAAGAGGCCATGAAATTGAGAGCAAAGAAGTATACATGAAGGAAAGAAGAAAAGGATGTGACTATAATTTAAGAAAATTATTTTAAGAAACAGGTAATGGCTACTTTACAGTCTGATCTGTACTTCACGCACTACATAGACATTTAGAGGGTGGGAGAGGTACTGGGGGGTAATTACAGCACTCTTTACACATGCTTTACCCTAGCACATCTAACCCTACATAAACACTTCACAACTGCCACGCAACACTTTAAAGCCACCGTAAAGGAACTCTTATGCACGGTAGGAGACATACCACTTACCATCTGATATTCCTTCTCTTCTTCGGTCATCTCCGGCTCACTGTGCTCTTCCTGGGGAGCTGGAGATGGACTTCTGGTGACTTTCCCACTGCTCACAGCCTCAGTGTTTTCAGCATCTTCATCTTCTTCATCACTATCCTATGAAAACAGCATGGGAGCACAGACTGACCACTATAATATGAAGTTGAGGAAACAAACATACTGCTTTCTAAATTACTGTTTTAATTCCTTTCTGGTGTTGGCTTCAAAGAAGCTAAACAGGTAGTCTACTGCTGACCTTTACCTTCAACCTCTTTAAATTACATTTCATGTTCCTGTTATATATTTCAGATAATCTTTTTCAATATATTTCCTTGAGAAACCAGCTTCAAACTCATGATGACCCAGCCTCATCCCCTGGGAATAAATACTAAGAGCACAGTACATGCCAATACACTCTGTTCAGAATGTGTACTGTTTCACTTAGTAATTGAAAGTGTAAACCTAGGAGAGACTATAAAATGTTTCATTTTTTTTGTTGTTGTTGCTATCTTTGTTTTATCAAGGCAGTGTTTCTCTGCATATCCCTGGCTGTAGACCAGGCTGGCCTTGAACTCACAGAGATCTGCCTGCCTCTGCCTCCTGATTGCTGGGATTAAACCTGAGTTTGCCACTACTGCCCAGATATAAAAATTTACGAAAAGCAATTATTTTTGCAAATAATAAGGACTATGCATTGAATGCAGAGATGATTGTTTCAGTGAATGCCTTCCTGTATTAAATTAAAAAGCAGGTGATCATCTAAATACTACCAGGGGACAAACATATACAATACAAACCCAACATCGGAAGATAGAGAGAAAAAAAAAAAAAAAATCTCTAAAACAGTGGTTCTCAACCTGTGTGTGAGTCAAGCAGGGGTCACCCAAGACCATTGGAAAACACAGATATTTACATTATGGTTCATAACAGGAACAGGAGCAAATACGGTTATGAAGTGGCAACAAAAATAATTTTATAGTTGGGGGGTCACCACAATGTAAGAAACTGTATTAAAGGGCCACAATATTAGGAAGATTGAATACCTCTGCTCTAAACAAAAGCTGACATTTATATAAACAATCAAACCAAAACCAACCAACCAACCACCATCCAACCAACCGAGTACCCTAGAGGTCAACTATTCTTATACAGGGCCAATTTTCCCTCTTTCCTTATGTTTCTTGTTTTTATAACAACCATAACAAAAGCTTTGGCACAGATCTTTTGAGAAAAAGAAAATCTATGATGTTTATTAGCAAAACAAATGTAAAACACAATATTGATATCCTGCTGAACTTAGTCTTACTTCTGAGGCAGTAATCAGCTTTGAAATGACGCTCATGTCAAAAAGAAAAGTACTAAAGCCTCAGTTAAAAGTATTTATTAAGACCTAGCACTTGGGAGGCAGAGGCAGGAGAATCTCTGTGAGTTCAAGACCAGCCTGATCTACAAAGTGAAGTTCTAGGACAGCCAGAGCTGCTACACATAGAAATATTTTCTCAAAAATAAAAGGTAAATAATAAATATCTATTCAACTTCTCAGTTAGACATATGCATTAAATAGCTATTAAAAGGTAAATTCATTTCTCTATGCTATTTAACATTGTTTTGTTTTATATGGCCCACTTTTAGGGAGCTGGTTGCAACCACATTGAAAATCATATAGAGTTGTATATTAATATAAAAAGTAACCAGAATTACATGGGGTATCTTTACAGGATAAACATTTTTAAAGCTTATTGCCTCCTCCCTTTTTTCTTTTACATACCCTCAATAACATACACATAAAATATAAATCCCACTGACATACACATATAATCCTTCCACTGAAGGAAGTGAGTTCAATAAATAGCAGCCTGAGGAAGTGTTTGAGACCCTGGACCAAACAGCAACATTCTACCTCAGTGTAACAAACACAAAACAACATCAACAACAAACCCCAAACCTCAATATACTTACCCCAAGAACTCTCAAGAAAATTTCACACAGAAAAAATTAACAATGTCATGCCAGGATCTACTTACAAATTTACTTCTCTGGGGTAAACGAGGGCCATCTCCTCCTTCAGCATCTTCTGTGGCCTTCTTTTCTTTTTTTGACAATTGTGAACGCTGCTGTTCCATTCTTTCTTTCTCTAATTTCTTCTGTTTTTCACGTTCCATTTTCTCAAGGCCTTCACGAATCCAGGCTGGAAGAGTCCTGCGTTTTACTGCATCTGTTTCACACATGAGAGAAAAAACCAAAACAAACAAAAAAACAAAAAACAACAGGTTTTTGAGCTTCTATAAATGCCATTAGAAATAGTAAAATTTCTTTAACATTGTAATTTAAAAGTCACTCCTCTGAACAGTAGAAGGGAGCACATTCTAAAGCTTTTTGCCAGGGCACAAGAGTGCATTAAACTGTCACTCATTTCATGTGCACAAAAGCCCTGAGATAAGTACTGTTCAACTGCTTTCATAGGTGAGGAAAGCCAAGTTCAATGACATAAAGTAATGGGCTTGCTCAAGGTCAAAAAGCCAGTGATGTGGGCTAATTCAGACCCAATTTCTTAACACTAGACTGCTTCTTAAAATATGACAACAGAGCAGAGTCAGACAAAGGCATGGTTCATTTTCATACTAAGAATTCATCTAGTTAAATTTTAAAAAGGAGTAAGAATCTTCCTAAGGTGTAAAGGGTTTACTTCCTAGCCCATTAAATGGTAGGCAATTTGAAACTTTTGAGATAAAATGTGGAATAAATATATAACTTGTCATTACTAGCTTTAATGGTATTTAGAAACCAATTAGTCATTGTTAAAGAACACAGGAGAGGTAAATAATTAAAGGAAACCAATGTGACAGAAGTGTACCGTATCTCCTAACTAAGACTGGAAGGAGACCCAAGGAAGAGAACATTGAACTATCTACACTGAACATGCTATGGTTAGCAAAAATCTACATTATATCCCTAACTGCTGTTTAAGGCAAATAATCTGAAAGAAAACTATGTAATACTTTTACATTTAGATCAGTATCTTTCTCTTTTTTTTATTTAAGATTCATGACTACAAAATGACAGGGTTTTAAAATACCATTATTTCTACCACATCAAAGTGGTACTAAGAACAACTTAGAAATCAAAACATGGTTTTTCCAGTGATAAAGACAGACAGCATGGGAATGTGTTTCATGGAGCATTATTTAAATAGCTACCAATTTGGGGAGGCTCTTGCTTCACAGGAAGTGCAATTGGCGAGCGCTGTCGGTCCCTGAATGATGGTGGCCGTTCCCTTCGATTCTGTGCAGGTGCTGGAGGTCCTGGAGGTCCTGGTTGCCAATAAGGAGGATGAAATCCACCTTGCGGTGGACCAAAAGCAGCCCCATGCTGAAAGAGTATTGCATTTTAATTTTCCTCAACTTAACATATATATACCCTCTGGGACACACGTGTGTTATGAAATAGGACAGTAGAAATCCATGTGTGCAGCATATCCAAGAATTTCATAGCTCTAACATCCAATGGTACTTCTGTAGCCCCAAGAACCCCGGCTTATTTTTCTCAGGAAAGACAAAGATTTTCTGCCTATGCAAATAAAAACAGCATTCTATAACCCAGCTGATAGATTATTTCAGAAAGGCATACATACATGGCTATATATGTATATGAACCTTTTCATTCTAAATTCATTCATAAACCTAAACACCACCAAGGTAAACAAATCCTTTTTTCCTATTTCTTTTTTAAGAAAAGCTCTCATTATATAGGCTGATCTGAAACTCAAGAGTCTCAGAGGTGCTGGGGTGACAGGAGATATCACCATACTTAGCCAACTTTAATCAAAAGCTACAGAACATTGCTGTTGTTAATAATTTCAACTTCCCACTGCTAATGAATTCAGGTTGTTTCTAAAGCAGTACAAGATTTATTTCTTTACAAGCCCAAAATGATACTGAATTAACTACTACAGTAAATGTTTGTTTCTGAAATCTGCCATGTTAGAAGCCTTTTAGGAGAAAGCTACCAACAGGCTCCTTTCCTTATTGACTCAGGCTTCATCGGGCCAAGCTCAGGTGAGAATAGGGTTCCTTGTCACTGCATCCCTTCATAACAGAGCAAAAACTCTCACATGTGAATCCCAAGTTTGAGTACTTAATAATCTAATCATGCATTAATGAGAGGACCACCATCTCAACATGAAAATACTGTCAAATTCACCTTACAATTAATGCTTAAATATGCAGTTTCTAAACATTTTAAGTTATGACAGTTTAGTGGATAAAGACAACTACAACTACAATTAGTTTTTTCACAATGACATCTAGATTTTTTGTTTGTATGTTTGATTTTCAGAACAGGGTTTCTTTGTTTATCCCTGGCTGTCCTGGAACTAGTTCTTAGACCGGGCTGGCCTTGAACTAACAAGAGATAGCCTACCTCAGCCTCCCAAGGGCTAGGATTAAAGTCATATGCCACTACTTCCTGGTGGCATCTAGATTTTCAAGGGTAGACTCTAGCAGAGCAGATTAAGAAAATAAAGTCCACATAATAACACTATTCTCCATAGAGTTCTATGTCCCTAGGAATGAGTTGAATGTCACAAAGGAAGCCATGAACAAGACAATTAATATGTTGTATAAGAATGGGATAAAACACTGAAAAAAAAAACAGTAATAATTCTACATAATTCTATAACATTTAAATATATTACGTTGAAACTGGAAAACCAGATACAACTATTTGCACTTACACATTTTTCACTTTATCCTAATTTTTTCCTATTTGTATGATTTTCCTAATCAACTAAAAACCTAATAATTTTAATGTTGATAGGCTGGTGATAGGTTTTTCTGACACTGCTTATGTGCTTATCCATACAATCCTGAAAATGACACACATGTTAGGAACTCTTGACGAGACATTTCCAAAGAATGAGTTACGTGTATGTCTATGATAGTAAAGTAACAAAATATCTTTCACCTGATAGTCAAACTGGTTCACCGGCCCCACTGCAAAATTATCAGGTGGTCCACCAAAGTTGTGATTGTTCTGGTTAAATATATGCCTGTTGTCAGGGGCAAACTCCCCACTGTCCTGACTGTTGCTGTCTTCAGAGGGAGGAACAATGTCCATTGGGCCTGGTGTTGGTGGCATCCATGGCTGATCTGGAGGGGGGTGTGGGGGCTGCTGATGCATTCCCCATTCTATTCAGGATTTAGGCATAAAGACATTCAACAGGGGTTATAACAATATCAACACAATTTTTAAGATCTCAAGAAAGCTAAAAAAAATGTTAAGACAGATTTTAAAAAGCAATTTATAACATTTTGGTCAAATTCCTTTTGTATTATCTTAAAAATAAGTAATCAATTAAACACTATCTCATACATAATGCAAATAAGTTCATCTAATTCTAACTCACACTCTAAACAAAATACCCAAAGTATTAATTTTGTTTGGGCATTGTGAGACAAGAACCTTGCTATGTAGACCAAGAGAATCTGGAACTCTACATAGCCTCCAACTATGGAGGAGATGGGCCTCCAACATGAGCCCCTCTGCCTCTCTCCAGTACTGGGATTACAGGCACGTGAAACCACACTGAGCTCCACAAAGTATTTTTTAACAATTTTAACAAATTCCAAAGCAACTCTTAAGTGAACTGCTCGGTTACTATTCAACAGCAACAACATAAAAATATTACTTTAAATTTTATAGTATTCCTTTTTTATAAATACATCATTTATCCTCACAACAACCCTGTGAGGTAGGGAGAAATTCTGGTATTATTATCTGTTTCAGAAGGGGAAACTGAGGCACACAGAGGTTAATAAGTTCCTTAGTGTCACCAAAAAAACCAAAACCAAAACCCAAAACCAAACCAAAACAAAACAAAACAAAAAAACAGTAAGTCAAACTAAATGTAGGAGGAGGATTGGTTAAATGCACTGGCTATCTGTTCTTCCAGAGGACCTGGGTTTGATTCCCACCACCTACATACATGGCAGCTAACAATTCTCTGTAGCTACACCTCAGGGGACCTGGTACCCTCATGCAGACATATCTGCAGGCAAAACACCAGTGCACATAAAAAATAAATACATTCTAAAAATTAATAATAGCAAACAGAGGCTATGACTTCCTCAACAGAATGTCCAAATGTGAAGTCTCTAAATAGTGTGATGTGATTATTAAAAATATTAACACAATTATAAAAAAATGAATTAGCATTAAGGAATTTAAGTCATACTATGAAGCTTAAAAAAAAAAAATAAAACAAAACAGCCAAGAACCTATGGAAAATGAGCACTATCTGAAAAAAGGGGGGGGGGGGGAGAAAAGGTGGGTGAGTAATAGTATCTGACAGGCTTGTCTGTCACACAAGGGCACAGCTTTTCTTTAATTTGAGGCTACACATGTTTTACTCTGCCAGGGCTGCTTCTGAAAAGGCCAGAGGTTGCAACAGAGAGACAAAGAGTGCTCTCTTTCCCCTAGATGCCAAGTGAGGGTTCCAGTGTTCCCAGCCCCTGTCAGCCTAGGAATGAAGAACCAAGAAAAAAATCAAACTGAGTGCCACAACGCTAGCAGACTGTGTACAAAATAACTTAACCACAGAAACGTCAAAATCAAATCAAATTGAGACTATTTTTTTTAAAAGAGTATTAATTTCAAGAAGCCATAAAAGTAAACAAGAAAAACAATGTACTACTAATCCTCATTTTAAGACATCCTAAAATTTGGGAAACATAAATAACAAACCTGGTTGCCACATTCTGTTAAAATTCGAATCCCCTTGAAAATTTCCATGATTATTTGGACCAGACTCCATTGCAGGCATATCCTGTCCATTTGGCATCATTCCTGGTGGTTGTTCCACGATGCTTTGCTGTCCTGAAGCTTCTCTTTGTGCAATCCAAGCTTGTGCCAAAGCAGCCCAGTCAATCTGGCCTAAAGTAAATTAACACAACTTAGCATTCAGAGTGTAGAAGCAAAAGACGAGCACTTCACTATACAATAAGCATCTCAACTATTCTGCTATTTTTCTTCTTTTCATGTATGTGTGTGTGTGGCATATATATGTATGCATGTCTATATGTATATGGGTGTGTGTTCATTTGGAGGACTGATAGCAATCTCTTCTTTACCTCGTCTACACTAATCTTTGAGGATGGCTCTCTCATTCAAACCCAGAGTTCCCTGATAAGACTAATCTCCACGGCCCATTTGCTTAGCAATGCCTCTCTGCCTTCAGAGACTAGAATTACAGGTGAGTGTTACACACCCAGCTTTAACATAGGTGCCACTTATCTTGCTTGTATGGCAAGTGTTTTAATTCTGGAACCATCTTCCCGGCTTCTTCCTTCTTCCCTCAGTCTTCCCTTTCTTTCTTCCCATCTCTGTTCACTACCCTTCCCCTTTTTCATTATCCCTTACTACAAATGATATATAATTAGTATACAAAATTATGCCTATAGAATGCTTAGAAAATATTTCATACTCAAACCAAAATACACAGGAGTTTCAGAAAAGGACTTTATAAAAACATTCTTAGCCAGGCGAAGTGGCAAACATCTTTAATCTCAGTGGAGGCAGAGGCAGGAGAATCTGAGTTCCACCAGCGTGGTCTAGGACAGCCAGGACTCAAAAAAAAAAAAAAAAAAAAAAAAACAACAACAACAAAACAAACACACACAAAAAACAATAACCCACTCTCCCACTCTTTCTTTCTATGTTAACATTATCTCACAGAATTTGTGACTCTCTACCTTAGTTTACTGAGTTTTAAAGACAAACTGTAAGACCAGTTTAAAAATAAGCAAACTCAATTATTTCTCCCCTCAGAATGTTCTGTTCTTTCCAGGCTGCCTTTAGGTGTACACAAGATGGATGAGTGTAACTTTTTTTGTTGTTGCCCCCCCCCCACTCCGAGACAGGGTTTCTCTGTGTAGTTTTAGAGCCTATCCTGGCACTCACTCTGTAGACCAGGCTGGCCTCGAATTCTCAAAGATCTGCCTGCCTCTGCTTCCCATGTGCTGAGATTAGAGGCATGTTCCGCCACCACCCAGCATAAGAAGCTATCAGTTTAAAAATGTAAAACTGTCACAAATTTTTCTATCCTTCAAGAAAGCAATTTCCAAGAAAAATGCATTTATTACTAAATAGCAAGACTAACTTGTCCACAAAGTGATTCAATAAGGCAATCTAAATGCTATCATCTATATCCTACCCATCTCCAAATGCCCACCTCTACCCAATCCCAAATGTAGTTGTTTTTTCTTACTTGGATCCTGCTGGTGCTGAAATGACTGCATCCACTGTTGCTGGTTCAAGGGCCATTGTTGCCAAGGTTGTCCTCCTTGATCCCACATCCTTTACGCTTCTAATTTCAAAAAATTAACCACTGTTAAAGCTGAGACTTTCTATATTTCAAAACTTACACATCAGAAACTTCATGATGATATATTTTACATGATGAATAAGCTGTAATTCTATTCAAAATGTTGCCACAGACAACTAGATTTAGGCTGAAAGGCAAGAACAGAAAGGTCTAAGCTAATGCTGGTGTCAGGATTTGGCTAAAAGTACAGTACAGATCAGGATGGAGAAATCTAGAGACAGCTGAATCAAGCTTGTGGAAACTCACGAACTCTAGACCTACAACTGTCGAGATTCCAGAGAATCCAAACTAGGCCCTCTGTATGTGGGAGACAGTGGGGAAGCTCGAACTACCAGAGGGGCCCCTTGCAGTAAGACCACCATACAAACCTGGTACATGAGCTAGCTTGTTGAAGCCCACTCCCTATGCTCTCTCTCCCTTAATGCACGAGAAAGGGGCATGGCCCTGCCCCAAGCTATTGTGCCAGACTATGTTAACTCCTCGCGGGGGCCCTTAACTGTGAGGAGGAGTGGACTGGGGGTAACTGAGAGGGGGTGGGAAGAGATGGGAGGAGGTTTGGTAGGGAGAACTGTGGTTGGAATGTAAAGTGAAATTTAAAAATGGCAAAAAAGTTCAGTTCTAATCAGCTATACTTGAAGAAGCCACATATTTTTATATAGTGTGTATATACATAAGTTTCCCAATATCACTAGAGATCCAATTATTTTAATTTTAATTATAAAAAGTGATTCATTCTATCCCCAAACTCCTTTAAAAGAGTAATAGATGCAGCAGATGAAAACATATTCTTGTAATTATAGCAAATAATAATAAACACATAATAGCAAATCTAATACCTGATTAAGAAAACTTTAAAGTTGATGAGAAATTAGAAATTTAAAGGCTTCCCATGGTACTACATACAATTTACAAGATCTAGTATTATATTTCCCAAAGCACTAGTCTCAACACAAATGTTTAAGGAACTAAGCTTCCAATACAAACACTCACAGGCATTAAAGAATGACATAAACAATATTAGAAGTAGTAATCAAAGAAAGCCAGAAAGTAAGATAGCTTCTAAGATCTTTTTCTTATCATTTAATCATGAAAAAGAAGGCAGGGTACTCTAAGTTATGGATAAGGGGCTGGTGGATATCTATACCACTCTAGACAAGTCTGAAAACTCATAAAGCATATAACTCCTACAAGCCTAATATATATCTCATATAAACGTAATACTTTATCAAACACTGTGCAACAGTTCAAGAACCAGTCACAAATAATCCCAGCATTCAGAAGGCAAAGGATGATGTTAGTCACAGGCCAGACAGAGCCACACAGTAAGATCCTGTCTCAAATCATGCCCCTGCATCCCACCACACCCCATCCCTGAAAACAAAAAAGTAGTGACAAAGCTAGAAACAGCTCAGCAATTAAGAGTATATCTTGCAGAGGACCCATGTTTGGTCCCAGCACCACATGGAGTGGGCTCACAGAAACCTTTTACTCCAGCTCCAGAGGCTCTGACACCTCTGGCCTCCAAGTGCAGACACACAGACACCCTCTCCCCCAACACACACTTTAAAAATTTATCTCTACCCCTCTCACATACACCCCCATAGAAATACACCTAACACATAACTTAAAAATCTTTAGGGACTGGAGAGAGGGCTCAGTAATTAAGAACACTTGTTGCTCTTACAGAAAACTCAAGTTTGATTCCCAGCAGCCACATGGCGGTTCTCAACCATGCCTAATTCCAGTTCCAGAGGATCTGAAGTCTTCGTCTGACTTCTATGGGCACCAGGCACACAGACAGTACACATACTAAGTTAAATAAACACATATAAAATTTTTAAATAAATCTTAAAAAAAAAAAAAAAGAACCAGTAACAGAGGCCGCACCAAGATGGCTCTTGTGGGGTAAGGAGATGTACTGCCAGGCAAGAGCTACTATTCAGGGGTGGTGTTTGACAGGGTTAGACTGGGAAAAATAGATGTGAAATAGAAATAGGGGGTGGGGGGAGCCAAGATGGAAGTAAAGTCAAAGTGTCAGGAGCCACTAAAAGATTTTTGTAAATAATTTATTTATTTTTATTTTGGTGTTTTGTCTACATGTATGTCTGTGTGAGGGTGCCAGATCCCTGGAACCAGTTGTGAGCTACCACGTGTATGCTGGGAATTGAACCTGGGTTATTTTGGAAGAGCAACCAGGGCTCTTAACCTCTGAACAATCCCTTCCAGCCTCCCACGAAAATGTTTTAACTAAACAATAAGTACCCTCAGGTAGCCCCTGGAGACTACTAAATGAGGTAAAGACAGCCCACCAAATACCTGGCTCTTTTTAGAAGACTATGTAGCATTGCAGTCTCTTAATAAAATCATAAACATATTCATCTGGTCTAGCAAAACCCTTTCAGAAACCCCAACCATGGATGAATATATTTACAGGAAAACTATTTTTAAAAATCTTAGCAATTTTTCTAATGGTAAACATGTACTTTTAGTGAAATTTAACTAAAAGTAAATGTAAGTTAAATAAATTAAAAAAATGGACTGTACTGTGCAACTGAAATAAGTAGACCTTTATACACTGACACGTACTGAAATACAAACTCAGTGAAAGAAAATTACAGCACGAAAAACACCACTTGAAGCTTCTTGTTTTCTCATATTACAGTATATATCTGTTAAATAAGGATCAGGATAAACAAATAGGGCAAATAGATGTTTATTCAGGGAGAAATAACTTACAACCTAGACAGATGAACACCAGCAAGTTCCACCGGATGCTCTCCTGTCCATCCCACAGCCAGCAAGAGAGATTTTCCCAGCTCTTCCTCAGACCTCCTTCCACAGGTCACTTCCGCCCATGGCTCCACCCCCAATGGGCGTAGTCAGTGCCACAGAAGGACTATCTCACTACAATGAATTTGAGTAAGAATGAGATAGTATTTTACAACTTACATTGTTATATATTCTTATTTGTGGTAAGCTATGTAAAATTAAGTTTACATTTTGCTATATTGTATGAAATCTTTCCACTTATGATGTTTTATGCACATTATTTTTACCATATTCTATGTATGTATACTTTTCTTGTATTCAAGACATTTTGTATATTGATACAATTTGGGATATTTATCATGCTGCCCTTTATAGTTCTACCTCTTGTCTTGACATTTCTACTTTACCTCTATTTTAGGAATTTATATGTATGTATATGTATATAGTTATACTGTTTAAGTATTTGTTCCTGCTTTACTCAGGGAAGTTTTAATCAGTTTTTTAGCTAAATTCCTGAGTATTACAGATTATCTTCACTCATGCTTCCTGTACCTATGAGATTAGTCAGATATAGATGCTTAATCTTCAATCACTTCATAGACATGCAGAACATGGCATTTAAATGTTTTAATATTAGTACTCCATTGACATGAGACACTGTTGCTCCTGACAGCACCGTGCACTTTCCTGAAAATATGTTGGATACTGTTGTTGCTCCTGCTGGAGTTCATTCTCGCCTCAGCTAATGGCCTGTTGGGCAAAGAATTGCCCCCACCTTGACCACTGATTTGGACATGCAGTCCTATGTGCTTGCAGGAGACAAATATAGAAGACTGCTGAACCTTGCCAAGTCAGGGTAAGACAGCCATTCTACCTCCCTGCTGTTGTTGTGGTCTGTCAAGTTCTCTTGGCCTTAGCCAAAACTGGGTGTACCAACATTGCTGTGAGAACTAGGGTGACTGTCTAGGTAGCCTGCTATTTCTGTCCTCACTGCACCTTTTGGAAGTTGCCCATCCGCACTTCCTGTCTATCCTAGTATCATTATTTTCCTTCTCAGGTCTTGATGAGGTTGAAGATTAAACTATCACAACTATTATTCTCTCTTCCTAGTTAGATATATTAGGTACTAGACTTATGTTTTCCAGCTTAGGACAACTCTATTGTAAACTCCGTTATGCCTTCACCCTAGGTCTAGATATGTAGGTCGTTTTGTTCTCGATTTTCCTTTTCTTAGAGCACACTTGTTATTCACTGTTTTGTATATAGTTTTGTATTAAGCCTAAATCTTTTCTTTATACTAAAAGGGGAATTGTAGTGAAATAGTCCTTCTGTGGCACTAACCATGCCCATTCGGGGGGTGGAGCCATGGGTGGAAGTGACCTGTGGAAGGAGGTCTGAGGAAGAGCTGGGAAAATCTCTCTTGCTGGCGGGACTCGGACAGGAAAGCATCCGGTGGAACTTGCTGGTGTTCATCTGTCTAGATTGTAAGTTATTTCTCCATGAATAAACATCTATTCGGCCTATTTGTTTATGCTGATCCTTATTTAACAGCAATACACACACACACACACACACACACACACACACGATTCCTAAGTTACAAAACTCCATCTTCTTAAGAATTAAGAGTAAATTTGGAAATCTAATCCTAAGGAGATAACTTGTTGGTCATGAAAACTAAACTTTGATTTCCATTAAAAGTCTAAAGAGAGACAGATGGCAGTGGCACCTTTAATCCCAGCACTTGTGAGGCAGAAGCAGGTGGATCTCTGTTGAGTTCAAGGCCAGCCTGATTTACAGAGCGAGTTCCAGGACAGCCAGGGTTAGAGTTACATACACAGAAAAACCCTGCCTCAAGAAACCAAAGGGGTAGGGAGCTGGAGGGATAGAAAATAGATAAGCAAAGGGAACAGAAATTAGGAAAACACTTGATTAGCAAAACAATGAATCAAGCATGTAATGTATACTTTATATGTTTTAAGCCAGCACAATACTTAATAAAGGGCTTTACCAATTATTTAACAAAACAGCAAGACTGGGTTGATGACAAAGATTTAGAACCCTAGTCTCTACTTCTTCATGCTCCCCATAAAATCTTTATCCTGAAGAACAAATGCAAAACCTATAAAACAAAATAGTTTGACTCCTTAAACACAGGAGTCAAAGCACACAGATTATGGTGCCAGGTGTAGTAGCCAGAACTAAGGGGGCATGTCCATAGCAACTTTCAGGACAGTTTTGAGACCCTATCCCATAACCAAACAAAAACCATACATATTATATCCTTTAGTATCCATGGATATCAAAACTTTAGAATGCTCAGGTCCCTTATCAGAAATGGCATTTTTGATATATAAAACAGAAATCTGAGTATGTTTAGTATACATACATTTTACCAAGTATTTGTGATCTGCAATTGGCTGTATCTATAAATATATAAGCCATTGACAGACAGGGAAAACTGTATTTTTTTTTTAATTAACCTTTTTTTTTTTTCTTGAGATAGGCAAAGGCAAGCAAACTATTCTCAGCTATGTCTATAGACCCAATAAGTTTAACAACTGACTTACATCTTGAAAAATGGTAGTAATATACTGGGTAATGATTTGGAAAATATCAATTGTTGAAGGTGGTACTAACTATATTTTTGCTATATATTTCCGTCTTTAAAAAAATCTCTAAGTTAAAGGTAATATGCAATTGTTCTTATACAGGTTTTGTATGTTCATATTTTGTTTGGGTTCAAACAAGAATTTTCTTGAGAACAAAGGGAATATTACTGGAATGTTCCACCATGGTGTTTTGTCTACATTAAAAGGTTAGGTATTTTACTCATTCGTTACCTACTGAACATATAACTTTAACCATGAAAAGTATATTTTAATATTTCTATTTATTTCTTTACTTACAGTTTGATTCTAGTGCCCAGGGAATCAGTTAAGTAGTAGAGAACTTGCCCAGCATACACAAGGCATATATATGATCCCCAGTATGTATGTATGTGTGTATACATGTGATCCCCAGTATATGTGCATTTATATATGTATATGTGACATCAGTATATATATGATCCCCAGCATATATATGTGACCCCCTATGTGTGTGTATGATCCCCAGTATATATATATATGATCCCGTGTGTGTGTGTGTGTGTGTGTGTGTGATGCCTAGCATCCTCACATCCCCACAACACAAGGGGAAAAAATTCCAAGAGCCATGAGAAGGATCAATAGGTACATGCACTTCCCACCCATCCTGGTAACCCTGCCTGAATTTGATTCCTGGAACCCACATGGTGTCAGAAGAGAACCAATTCCTGCAAGTAACCCTCTGACCTCCACATGTCATGGTACATGTGTCCATACTTATACAGGTAATCATACAAAATAAACATGACAATTTTTTCAAAAAATTGAATCAACTTATTCAGTCTCCTTTTAGACTTATTTTTATAGATAGATTACCACCTTTTCAAGTTTGGAAAAGTCTGATTACTTATGATTCATGCAACAAGACTTTGGTGACAATATTTGCCTTCACAGGGTCAAGTTAATTGTGATGTACTTGAAAAACAACTTGAATTTGGGAAGAAGAAGAAAGCTAACAACCAAGGATTGTATCTGACCATCCAATGTATCACACTGCTGGAAAAAACTATCACCACAGTTATAGACTAACCTGTAGTCTTTCCAGACAGGCAAGTCCTAACCCATGGTATCTCTTATTTGAAAACTGGGGTCTGCGCAGATACAGTAAGTCAATTTAGGATGAGGTCATATTTAATTAGGGTAAGAACTAATCAAATCCCTAGTGAGGACAGACATAAGTGTCCATATGGAGAATGTCCTGTGTTTACAATGACAGAGACTGGACAAGTCAACAAGCTAAGGAACAGGAAGACATGTGCCATCAAAAGCCAGAAGGAAGTCACCTCTTAAACTCTGCCTTCACACTGTTTGTCTTTAGAACCACTAAAGAGTACATTTCAGTTGTTTTTAGCCACCTGGTTTGTACTTATTGCTAGTGACCCCAAATACTAATATAACCAGAATGACCATCATTTAGTCTTTCTTTAAATTACTTTCTAAAGTAAATAACAACAACAAACCCAGAGAGGAAGAGATGGCTCAACAGTTAAAGAAGTGCTGGCTGTTCTTACAGAGGACCCAAGTTCAATCCCAGCACTGCACAGAGTAACTGATAGATACTTCCTGAAATTCCAGATCCAGGGGAACCAGTATTTCCTGACCCCCATAGGCACTCATATTGATACACATATACATATGAAGGCACAAACACATGCACACATGTATGGCATTACTGTATGCACAAACACATATAAACATAAACCTTAAAAGGAAAAAAATAAAACCAATTATTTTGAGTTTCCCAAAATGACTTGTTGAAATGACCACTAATATTTACAAAAGTCACTTATAAACTGTGTGACAATAAGACTTAAAATGTGATGTTCTAAGGCCATTTATAGCTGGCAAATCTTGTAGCACTGAAGAGGTACATAAAGCAACGGCAAGATTTTGAGTTGGAGGCTATCCTGGGCTACCTGTCCTTGATCCAAAACTGAAACAAAACAAAGCTTTGTGGTAGCACATGTCTGTAATCTCAACATCTGAGAAGCTGAGGCAGGAGGATTGGTGGGCATTGCTAGCCTTAGTGACAGAGTAACAAAGAAACAAAAGACCAATCGATCAATCAAATAAAGAATTGGTGGAGAATAGTAGACATTTGAAAGATTTTAGCAATGGTCAAAAAATAGAAGAATTTGGGCAATGAAATATAGTACTGACACCTAGACATAAAATAATTTTTCTTTAATTAATGTGTGTGTGTGTGTGTGTGTGTGTGTGTGTGTGTGTGTGTGTGTGTATGCACACAAGTGGCTAGAGAGATGACTCAGCACCTAAGAGCACTGGCTGCTCTTGCAAAAGCAAAGGACCTGGGTTCAAATCTCAGCGCCCACCTGGCAGCCCACAACCATCTGTAACTCCAGTTCCAGGGGATCTGACACTCATTCAAGCCTCCATGGATATCTTCTCTACACACATACAAAAAAAATTAAAAATAGTAACTTTTAAAAGAAATTTTTTAAAACTAAGGCTATAGGAGAAAGCCACCAGGTTAATATTGTAGCAACATCGTTCCAGATTTTTCAGGACAGAGTTTCTCTGTGTAGCTTTGGAGGCTGTCCTGGAACTCTGTAGACCAGTCTGGCCTTGAACTCACAAAAATCCACCTGCCTCTGCCTCCCAGAGTGCTGGAATTAAAGGAGAATGCCATCACCGTCCAGCCGTTCTATTTACTCTGACAAAAGTTTCATACAAGCGTATGCTGTTGAGGAAAATATAACAGGTGGCGGTGGTTATACACTATCCAATTTTCCTACCGTTAACTTCTAGGGCTTGGTGCCTTTAACACCAGCATCCCAGACCAAAGGTTAAGTGGATCTCTACGAGTTCCAAGCCAGCCAGGGCCATAAAGTGAGACTGTCCCGACCACTCACCCTCCCATCCTTCCCAAAAAAAAAAAAAAATCCCTAAAACATAAAGTTTACATATGCTTTAAACAGTGCCTGTGAAGACTATCCTAGAACTCATTTACTAGCTGTCCTCTGGTGCTTAAAAAAAAAAAAAAAAAAAAAAAAAAGCACTCCACAAACAAAACCTGGCTTGGCTTTTGCCTTGCTGTACTCAAGAAATTTCAGCATTACCTTGTTTCACTCAGGGTCAAGAGGAGAAAAGATTAATGAAGTATTAAAGAGTTAGACTGTCCACCTATCTAATCGCGCACAGTCAGCATTTGCTCAGGGCCCTATTTATTTACTTATTTCGGGTGACAGTGTCACCCACAAAAAGAACGAGACAACTTAAGTACGGGATGCTGCTCGTCTCCTCAGTGACGCTCAACGCGTAACATCCGTCACCGGAGACCGCCCGGTGCCTACCAGCACACAAAACACAAAGAGCAGGCCACAAAACCCCACTTTTCTCCCAGACGCAGCCGCCTCCCGCTGCGCCTGCGCAGTCCGGGTCCCGGGGCGTGCGTCCCCCCGCCCCGGCCCCCGCCGCCTCCGCCCCTCGGCGCCGGCTCCGGGCCCGGCAAGGGCTCAGTGCGCACGCGCAGTGCTTAACGGACGGCCGCGTCCCGACCGCCAGCCGTCGGCCTGCTCATGGAAAGCCTCGGTCGGCAGCGGCGGCGGTGCACGCTCCCCTCGGCGCAAGGCGCGTTTCCCGGAGGGCAGCGCTCGCGCTCACCGGCTCAGGCGGACGTCGGTGCCGGTCGGGATGGGGTACCGGCGTCCGCAGCCCGCTTGAGTGCCGCCACCTCCGCCACACACAAGCCGACAGGGTTGTAATCCCCCCCGGAGAGCCCCCTCCGTGGAGCCCGCTCGGCGCTCACCCGCTCCGGTTCCCGAATCGCGCCGTCGCCACCGTTCCTGTGATTCTCTCCAACCCTTTCGATGCTTCTACTTCTTCATGAACAAGGCAAGATGGCGCCCGCTGGGGCTCCCCCGGAAGTGGATGAGAATAACATCCGCCTTCCGTCTGAAGTCACACTTGCCCTCAGCCGGGCTGGGGAGCACGTGATGGTACCGGCTGGAGGAGCCCGCGCCATTTTTCTTGTGGGCAGCCTGGCCCCCACCCCCATCCCCGGGATTTCTGCGGCTGAGCGTTCGTCTGAGAAGCCTGCGTCACCCGAAGCATTTTTATCTGCACTGCCAGCTCACGGCCGACAGCCTTGACGTTAACTTCAGTCAGGGCATCCTCCAAGAGGAAATATGTTTTCTCCTCCGGACCTTTCTGCTTAGGGAAGGATGTTCAATTCGCTTCTCCACTTTCAGACCACGGAGGACGCCCAGAGTTAAACCCGGCCAACTTGGAACTCACTGTGCCAGGCCCGCGTGAGCCGAGCTGGCGGCTTCCGGCTGCGCTCCCACTGGGCTCTGCAAGCGAGGCGGTCTCTTTCATAACCTCACACCGCGCCCCCTCGTGGGAACACCCACAGCTCCACTCCGCTCAGCAACTCTTAAAAAGTAACTGGGAAGCATAGTTTGTTTTAACTTGTTTCATTTATTATTACTATATATTATTATTACTTCTACTATTAAAGACAATCTTATTTTGGCCGGGCGGTGGTGACGCACGCCTTTTATCCCAGCACTCCGGAGGCAGAGGCAAGTGGTTTCTCTGTGAGTTGGAGACCAGCGTGGTCTACAAGAACTAGTTCCAGGATAGCCTCCAAAGCCACAGAGAAACCATATCTCAACAAACAAACAAACATCTTATTTTACATACCAATACCAGTTCTTTCTCCCTCCGGTCCTCCCATGCCCTCCACCAACCCCCCATCCTGGGAAGCATAGTTTCTACTGGTCCTCTTCACCTTAGCTACAAAGTGGCCTTCTGAAAGGAGGTTTGGGCATGAACAGTGTTCATGTATCTAAAATGTCCCTTTTCCAGCCTAGTAGTTTCAGTACAAAAGAACCGAGAATACTTAAAAATACAGTATTTTTAGCCTAGATTTTGGGAAATGCCTTTCTAGAAATCACAGTGTGACAGAAGAAAGTCGTGAATGAGAATTCTGGGAAGGAGGCTGTGTCTGCGAAGATTTATTAGAGCTGCAGTAATATGGAGAGGTTGGGATGTTAGATTCTGGTCCAGAGGCTAATTACCCGTTCTGGACCTAGCTTTGCTCACTGACTAGCAGTCCTTGCCAACCTCTGTGTGGGAGCCAACATCCTGTGTCTAAGACATAAAAGTCTCTTGGAACCTTTCAAATGAGCTGACTCCTAGTTGCCACCAACCCAACAACTAGGAATGTTATCAGCCAGCATCTGCAGCCATGTGAAAGTGTTCCCCATCTTGTTGTAACTTCCTCTGTGAAGTACAAACCAGTTTCTTTTAAGCTTTCCTTGATTTATGACTGTTTTTGTTCTTTATAAACTATCATGAAATACTTCCATAACCCAACCATAATCCAAATCTCCATTTTCTGGGCCATGGTCATTCAAATATGGCCACATAATAAGCTCTCTCTTACTCTCTTTAAGGTAAAAGCTGTGGTTTTGTTTTGTTGTTGTTGTTTTGGGTTTTTTTTTATGCATATAGAGTATTTTTTATTTAATTTTATATAACAAAGTCCAATTAAATGAAAACAAACATTTATACACAATATTTGGGAATTTGGGCGTCGTTCTTTCCAAACTACTTCCTGCTGGTAAGGGGCGCTGTCTTGGGGGATTCGAAGAAGATTCAGATATCCTAGCTGTAGTCTGTAGGGCTGTTTTGTCCAGCTGTTTGGAATGTAGGATCAGCTTGTACTCTGTTTCAGGCGGTCTGGTGTAATCAAACCACATTAGTCTGGAAGGAATCCACATCTTTTCATTTTCTGTGGAAACAAAAATAGAAATACTTTTCCCCAGTAACTTGTTCTTCAACTTAAATTTTGGAGTCAAAGCGTTTTTTTTTTTTTTTTTTTTTTTTTTTTTTATTTTACATGTCGATCCCAGTTCCCTCTCCCCTCCCTCCCTCCCTCCCCCCAAGCCCTCCCCTCCCTCCTTCCCTCCCTTTTGCCCTCTCTACCCTCTCCCATGCACTCTAAACACCCTCCCCTCCCAACCCCCCACCACAATACAATATGTAGGGGAATGCCATCCAGTTGGGGTCATGTAGATCTGACAGGTCCTGTGAAGTAGGGACTAGGGCTTCTCTCCTATCTCTAGAATAAGGCAGTTATCCCTCCATGGGGGATATGTTTGCAAAGTCCTTTTGTGCACCAGGGATACATCCTGGCTCCACTGTCTGAGGTCTCTTAGACTGCTCAGACCTTCTGGCTGAGACCCATATTCAGGGGGGGTCCGAGTCAGACCCCTGTTGGCTTCCCAGCTATCAGTCTAGTGGCCCTTAGCTCCTCCTTGTTCAGGTAAGCTGTCTCTATGTACTTCTACCGCATGGTCTTGTCCTCTCCATCTGCTTCTGGGTTCTAGTTTGACTCAGTGTTTATGTATGGGTGTTTGCTCCTGTTTTCAACAGGCATTAGTTGAGGACTCCATGGAGAAGTTAGTTGTTGATCTCACTCTCCGGGAAGGGCATTTATGATAGCCTTTCCACGGAAGCTGAGATTGTTAGTTGGGAGCAGTCTTATAGTTCCCTCGACCTTTCTTTGTGTTCAACTTTATCTTCAAACCAATATTGGCTCCCTCTTTTATGTTCTCTCTCTCTGTCTCTGTCTCTCTCTCTCTTTCCTATTTTCCATTCCTAACCAGGCTCAATCCTCCTGGTCGCACATGCCTTCCTCTCCTCCCTCTCATTTTCTCCTACTTCTCTCTCCATTAGCTGTCCTCCCCCACTATACCTGAGGTCTGGGGGACTTGTCCCTTCCCAGTTCTGTGAGGGACTTTATATGAATGTCTTAGAATACAACTTGTATCCTAGTTCCCCTGGTGATGTGAATTATAGGCTGGTGATCATTTGATCTAGGTCTAAAATCCATATATGAGTGAGTACATACTGTGTTCCTCTTTTTGTGACTGGGTTACCTCATTCAGGATGGTTTCTTCAAGTGCCATCCACTTGCCTGCGAATTTCAAGATACCATTATTTTTTTCTGCAGAGTAGTATTCCATTGTGTAGATGTGCCACATCTTCATTAACCATTCTTCAATTGAAGGGCATCTAGGTTGCTTCCAGGTTCTTGCTATTACAAATAGTGCTGCTATGAACATAGTTGAACAGATGTCTTTGTTGCATTGATGTGAATCCTTTGGGTATATGCCTAAGAGGGGGATTGCCGGGTCCTGTGGTAAACTAATTCCCATTTTCCTGAGGAACCGCCATACTGATCTCCAAAGTGGCTGTATGAGTTTGCACTCCCACCAGCAGTGGAGGAGTGTTCCACTTTCTCCACATCCTCTCCAACATAAGTCATCACTGCTGTTTCTAATTTTAGCCATTCTGGCAGGTGTAAGATGGTATCTCAAAGTTGTTTTGATTTGCATTTCCCTGATAGCTAAGGATGTGGAGCATTTTCTTAAGTGTCTTTCAGCCTTTTTGATTTCCTCCATTGAGAATTCTTTCTTCAGTTCTGTACCCCATTTTTTAATAGGGTTATTTGGTGTTTTGTTGACTAGTTTCTTGAGTTCTTTGTATATTATGGAGATCAGCCCTTTGTCGGATATAGGATTAGTGAAAATCTTTTCCCAGTCAGTGGGCTGCCGTTTGGTCTTGTCAACTGTGTCCTTTGCCTTACAGAAGCTTCTAAGTTTGAAGAGGTCCCATTTATTAATTGTTTCTTTCAGTGTCTGTGCCCCTGGAGTTATGTTCAAGAAGCGGTCTCCTATACCAATTTGTTCAAGGGTACCTCCTACTTTCTCTTCTAAGAGGTTCAATGTGGCTGGATTGATGTTGAGGTCTTTGATCCATTTGGACTTGAGTTTTGTGCATGGCGACAGACATGGGTCTATCTGCAGTCTTCTACACACCCTCATCCAATTGTGCCAGCACCATTTGTTGAAGATGCTGTCTTTGCCCCATTGTATAATTTTAGCTGTTTTGTCGAAAATCAGGTGTTCATAGGTGCGTGGATTAATATCAGGATTTTCAATTCGATTCCATTGGTCTACCTGTCTATTTTTATGCCAATACCAGGCTGTTTTCAGAACTATAGCTCTGTAGTAGAGCTTAAAGTCAGGAATGGTGATGCCTCCTGATGTTCTTTTATTGTATAGGGTTGTTTTGGCTATCCTGGGTCTTTTGTTTTTCCATATAAAGTTGATTATTATCCTTTCAAGGTCGGTGAAGAATTGTGGTGGGATTTTAATGGGGATTGCATTGAATCTGTAGATTGCTTTTGGTAAGATTGCCATTTTTACTATGTTTATCCTACCTATCCAAGAGCATGGGAGGTCTTTCCATTTTCTGGTATCTTCTTTAATTTCTTTCTTTAGAGTCACAAAGTTCTTATTATATAGATCTTTTACTTGTTTGGTAAGCGTTACACCAAGATACTTTATGTTGCTTGTGGCTATTGTAAAGGGTGATGTTTCTCTGATTTCTTTCTCTGCCTCTTTGTCGTCTGAAAAAAATAGGGCTACTGATTTTTTTGAGTTTATCTTGTATCCTGCTAGTTTGCTGAAGGTGTTTATCAGCTGTAGGAGTTCCCTGGTAGAGTTTATTGGGTCGCTTATGTAAACTATCATATCATCTGCAAATAGAGACAGTTTGACTTCTTCCTTTCCAATTTGGATGCCCTTGATCTCCTTTTGTTGTCTTATAGCATTAGCTAGAACTTCTAGTACGATATTGAAGAGATATGGAGAGAGAGGACAGCCTTGTCTTGTTCCTGACTTTAGAGGAATTGGCTTAAGTTTCTCTCCATTCAGTTTGATGTTGGCAGTTGGTTTGCTGTATATTGCTCTTATTATGTTTAGGTATGTTCCTGTTATCCCTGACCTCTCTAATACCTTTATCATGAAAGGGTGTTGAATTTTATCGAAGGCTT